GAAAAAGGGAGTTTGTGTGTATTTGTGTTTGTGTGTGTGTGCACATGCACACACGCATGCTAGTAATAGAAGACCCAACTCAAACCAGCTCAAATGATATAGTAATCTATTGACACACATAAGTAGAAACTCCAAATGCAGACTTGGAACATGAACTGATTGAGAAGTTTACAATGCCAGTAAGGTCGTTTCACCATTTCTCCATGGTATCCTAGGTTTTGCTTTCCTATGTTGATTTTATCCCCAGTCTGGCTTTTGCAGCAAAATGATAGCAAGATGACTACCTGAGCTTAAAAGAGTTACATGCTTCCTCTTTCAAATTACAGTTGAAAAGAGGATGTATCTTACCATAAACAGCCATCACAATGTCTCCTTTGGTGACAAAATTTTTACTGGACAGACTTATATCCATGTTAATCTATGAACTAATAATCTCTGTTGATCAGTTATGTGATGGGGTATGTTGTGTTCCTGAGCCCACATACAGCAAGGAGGATGCATGTGGATGTCCTCAGGAGCTGGTTTGGGGTCAAATCCCAACCAAACCATAGACATTCTGTACAGTTGGTAAAGGGAAGGGAGGGAGAGATGGTAGGAAGTTAAATGGTTGTGGAGCAGGCAACCACAGCACACGCAACATGCATTGGGCAGTGTATGTTGAGTTCCAAAAATAAGGTTGAAACGCTCCAACATTAGACTTCTACTCACTAAGTATATGAAGTAAGTAGTAAATCACAGAGCCCCATAAAAGCTCAAAATAAATCAGCTTCTCCTCCTATGCTTTTTGCTTATGAGTTCTCAGAAAAAGAAAAAAAATTCTTTTCTCCCATTAATCTAACAATTAATTTTATTGGGAAAATGTATTCTAATAATTCACTATAAAAATAAAAGACCACCAAAGCAATTACATCACATCTACCATTTATTTTCTTCCTTCTAGACAGTAAAATAAAATAAGCAGACATTCTAATTTAGACTGATGTATCTTAGTCTTAGTATAAGTATTATATGTTTATGGTCATTATGGATCCTTTGTGTCTACACAAGAGTTAGAATCTTATATGCATTCAGCCTTGTTTAGTCATAAAATAGCTAAGAGATTACCTATGAAAGGCTATTCTTATCCTTTTTTTTTTTTTTAACAGAGTCTCACTCTGTTCCCCAGGCTGGAGTGCAGTGGCACACTCACGGCTACTGCAGCGTTGACCTGCTGGACTCAGGCTATCCTTCCGCCTCAGCCTTCCAAGTAGCTGGAACTACAGGCATGCACCACCATGCCCAGCTAATTGTTTGATTTACTGTAGAGATGAGGTTTTGCCAAGTTGCCCAGGCTGGTCTCGAACCTGTGGGTTCAGGCAATCCTCTCACCCTAGCCTCTCAAAGTGCTGGGATTATAGGCATGATCCACCGCATCCAGCCACCCACTGCCCCATTCAGTCAGATATCCAGCTCCCATGGCTGTGCCCAGAATGTTCCCAACTGTATTGGTCTTCTCTGGTTGGCATCAGCCTAGTCACAGCACACAGAATGCCATCTCCCACATCTCATCCAATTTCCCTCTCCTATTTCTCCCCACAAGAGCTTTACTGTTCGCTCCAAGCACCACACAGTTTTTTTAAAATGCTTGCTTTATTCCATCAGGATTAAACATTCACTTATTCATTTGTTATACTGATCTTGCTGATTTACTGTTGAGAAATGAATAAACGTATGATATATCTAAGCTTCTCTACCCACATTCCATGTGAAAAATGATACTGTGTTATTTTTCTTTTTAAAACACCTCAATGATTTTTAATAGCAATTTACGGTCAGCTTGGATGATATGAGTCCACCAAACTGAAGTTAGCATAGACTGGATTTTCTACTTTCTCTTCCAGCCCCAGTACTCATGAGCTCGGCAAGAGAGAAACGTCTTTTACTATTGTTGCTCAAAGGATGGATGGAATATCAGTGCACCATTCTAGCATGATATTAATGCTGTTCTTGGCTTGCCAGTACAAGGGTTGAGAACCCACCCCTTCCAAAAAGATTTTAAAGCAGTCTAGGGATCAGATTGCCATAAATACACTGGATTATCCTTAGAGGTGGTTTAATCTGACAAAGATGAAAATGTATGTTAAATATTCTTACTTGCGTCTTTCTGCAACCCAGCAAAGTTCCCTCCTTTTCCTCTTCCCAACTACCCTATATTGTGGGGTGAAGAGAGAAGAACAACTAAAAGTTTGAACTAAAATTGTATATATATAAAAATATATGTGTGTGTATATATACACACACATATACACACATATATACATGATATGATATTTTCTGAAAATTAAATGTCTATGCCAAGTACAGACTCCTGAATTTAAGAAAGAAGTCCATGATGCATTGTTGAGAAAACTATTTGCAGAGAGATATATTTGCTTCTTCTATTACTGAAAAAACACACAAAAAACCTATACATACATACTTGTATGTATATGCATACATGTGTATTCCATGAGAAAGTAGTAGGAGATATACTTTAGTTACCTCAAGAGGACAGAATTGCATATGAGGGTGAATTTTTGTTCAAATACATCTGGGCATGATTTTATTCTTACTTCAAGCATACAAAGTATGGCGATGAAGTTTACAGACTCATCCTAGAAAAAGCGCTATATACCTCAGTGCTGAATATCATTATGGTCACTTTAGAAGTACTCCTGTTGGGTAGCTATGCACTGACACCAGCACCTAGTCCACCTGTCAAAGGGATTTTGGAACTGCTTTCTAATGGCATCAGAGCTATCGTTATATTATCCTTGATGTACTGAATATCATCAAAATGTCTTCCTTTCAATATTTCCTTTATCTTTGGGTAAAGAAAAAAGTCACTGGGGGCCAGTTCAGGTGAGTAGAAAGGGTGTTCCAATACAGTTGTTTGTTTACTGGCTAAAAACTCCCTCACAGACAGTGCTGTGTGAGCTGCTGCATTGTCGTGATGCAAGAGCTCCTTTGGAGCCATTTTTGCACACACCTTTCTCATGCCAAGATTTGCAGTTAAGATTTTTCTGTTTCTTTATCAACGTTTATTTGGTTCACTACTTTACAGTCAGCTGACGATTTTGATGCACAGTTCAATGATTATTTGCAATGTTTTCATCAGTTCTTCTCATTACTGGCAGTTCTGACCTCTCTGCCTCAGTGACGCTTTCTCTCCCCTCAGAAAAAGATGTAATACATTTGTACACTGCCATTTTCTTCATGGCATTGACCCCATAAACTCGAACTAACATGTTCCTGATTTCACTTCCACTCTTGCCAAGTTTAACCAAAAACTTAATGTTTTTTCATTATTCTAATTCAAACTCCAACATTCTCAAGACAGCACATAAAAACATGCAACAGCAATAATGAATGCCACTCAGCAAGACACTGCCACACATCAACATGAGCAAAGCTGTGACACACTGATACACCAAGGTTATGAAACCTCACTGAGTTGTTTGTACAGTGCTGCCAACGAAATCGCATGGTGGCAGGTTCCCAAACGTAATTGTCAGCCCTCATATATTGTTTTTAATTTGATAAACATCAAGTGTGTATCTTTAAAGGAAAAAAAATTGAGAAGAAATTGGTGATTTGGCAATCAATTTCGTGTGAAGATTACAAATTTGCTGTAAGGAAAAATTTATTCATTTGTATTTAGGTTTATTGACAATAGTTGTTTTAAGTTATAAAATTCATTATATAATTTTAGAATCTCAATAGTCTCTACTCCCATTTCAAAATGTATTGACAGGATTCACACAGTCAAAAGAGAACTGGCAAGGAATGCATCTTAAGAGTTATGAGAATGGAAACTAGATACTCCAATCTTCAGTAATTCTAATTTATTTTATTTGAATTTCAGAAACATTAAAGCAATCAAATTGTCTTCCATTTTTACTTTTTAAAGAATATTCACTAAAGAAAGGAAAGTATTCTAATAGGTCCTCTTGAACTTCTAAGCTTTTTATGTTTAAAGAAGATGATTGGTTTTGTGAAGGAATTGCTTTTCAGCATATAAATTTTCAAATTTAAAAGAGAGATTGAGAGAAAATACAATAAGTGTATGCTGAAGAATCATTGCTTATAATACACAACTTTTGAACACACATTCAAAAGCTAGTTTTTAATCCTATTTTGTAGCACATACTGGGAATTTGGCAGAAAATTCAACCAATTCTATCATAATTAACAACCCATCTTGTTATTTCTGGTAAACAAGCCTGTGTACATAAGATTTCACACCCATATGCAACCATATACTGCCAGAAAAATTCTGTCACAAGTGCTGCTTAGAAATAAACCTCATCTCCTTTAGAGGCACAAGGTACACTCCTATTCTGAACTTTCTGAAGACCATTCATACCAATGTTACAAGTTTCATCTTGAATGTTTCTAAACAAAATAAAAGCAATGGAATCTTAATAGGTATCTGAGATTTTCCCAGCTCCAACAAAGTAAGATTATTAATCTGATTTTAAATCTAAGCCCATGAAGCCTGCTTGTTTGTAAGGAGAAATAAATGTGTTCTCTGGTTTATGTTAGTCTATAATTTGAATATGCTCTGTTGGTTATCTGCAGGAACTTCAGTCTGCTCATAATTGAAAAATGTGTTCGCTCTTTGGGTTTTAGAAAAATGATAAATGTAAAGTAATATTGGACACTGGTGAAAAATGAGCCAATTTTTTGAGAACAACAACAACAAAAAAGGCGCATGTGGAAACCATAGTCCCACCTTATAAAGTCAAGAAGTTGATAAATATTGAGAAAACATCATCTTACATAATAATATGAAAATGATAAAATTTAATATTGTTTTCTTTTTGGCTTAACATCTTTGGTTTCTTATCAAAGTTACCCACATTCCTGGTATCTCATTGTTTATTGGTAATCATCATTTTATCCCATGACAATTCTGCTCAAAAATGTTTTGGCTTGTTTTGTTTTGTTTTTCCAACTCTCTCATTTGATCTCATTTCCAGATGTGGACAAGGATGGAAAGGAAATCGATGTCATATCAAGTTTAATTCTCCTGCTACAGACTTCACATACACTCAGAACAGTAGGTGACATTATGACTAAACAAATGACTTGATTTTGGGATCTCTCATATTTTTCGCTGCATATTTATCTTTTTCACTGGTTTGAAATCCCAGATATATGGACTCTCCTGGGTATCGGATTAGCATTCCTGATGTCCCATATCACAGTTGCGGTCTTGTGTTTTCTGGCCTACAGGAAAGGGCCAATAAGGTAAGTGACGCCGTTAGTTGTTGAATGAAATATACAGGAGCAGAACAATTTTCTGCAGCATTTCATCTGCTATATTTTCCTTTCATCCTGTATTACATGCAGGAAACTTGAGTGTTTCCATAATTTATGGGTTTATTTTTCTGACTGGGCAGAAAGCAGGAGGTACCTAACAATAACTGTTCTCCTTTTTTTTTAGTTAAAAAAAAAAAAAGCCTGGAGTTTTGAGGGCTTCAAAAAAAAAAAGAGAGAGAGAAAGAACATGATATTCTCCACAGAGATAAGAGGCTGGACCTACCATTTCTGGTGATGCCTAGGGAAGGCAGCCAAACCACAGAGTTCTTTTCTTGGCCACCATAGGGAGGCAGAACTCTTAGCACCAGTGTTTCATCCAAGACTTTCACGTTCTGAGCAACGCACAGAACAGAGGCTGAGAGCTGTCGCACCTCATGAAGGAACTTCTGAGGCCTGGCTCCTGCAGGACTCCAAGGACCTCCCCACCTTAGAGCCCTTTAGAGGCCTGGAATCCTCCTAAGTATCACCTGTCTTACCATCATCAGAATATGTTACAGGTCACCCCAATAACGAAAGTGGTTGACTTTTTTACAAATTCAGCAAGATAAGGATTTACAACAAGATTTAATAACGTTTTTCAGAAATCAAAAAAAAATGCATCATCTCTTGCACATATGAGTTTGTAGTCAGAAATTTAAGTCTGCCACGACATCAATGTGTCTTAGAACAACGGAGGATTTTTCCATTTTCCTTGATGTCGACTTTTATGTCCCGCCTGATAACTTCATTTCAGATCTCTATCCTGCAATCGTGTTAATAAACAGACACCATTTGGATATTGTGAATGAAGGCAAAATTACTATAGAACTATGGTGCTTATTAGAAAAAACATACGATTTTTTTTTTTTTGAGTTGGAGTCTCACTCTGTCGCCCAGACTGGAGTGCAGTGGCCGCTCCCGGCCACTGCAGCCTCGACCTGCTGGGCTCCGGCGATCCTTCCGCCTCAGCCTTCCGAGTAGCCGGAATTATAGGCACGCGCTACCACGCCCGGCTGATTTTTTGATTTATTGTAGAGATGAGGTCTCGCTGCCCAGGCGGGTCTCCAACCCGCGGGTTCAGGCAATCCACTCACCTCAGCCTCCCAAAGGTGCGGGATTACAGGCTGAGCCACTGAGCCCAGCTGAGATACAATATTTTTAATCCATTACTATAATGATCATATCCATGTATTAATTCTTTAATTAATTTTTACATGCCTAAAATATGCCAGACGATGTAAATACAAACATGAATGAGAAGCAGTCTAGACTTTAAGGAGTTTGAAAACTAGCGGACAAACATAAACCAAACAAAACATATAGATTGTCTCATGCAGTTGTGGGAAATGGCATGCTTGACACTTGCAAGGTAGACCAGCAGACTAGAAATCCAAGTAAGAGGTGATGTTGCAATCTTGAGTTCAAAATCTGCAGGGCAAACCAGCAGGCTGGAAACTTAGGCAGGGTTTTTTTCTTTTTTAATTATAAAGATGTGGGGTACAATTCAGGGTTAGGTATACAAACGTTGATTATGCAGATGCCCTTGTTGATGAGGTATGCCCCTCCCTCTCCTAGCAGTTTCCCTCAAATGTCAATCCCATCTCCCTCCCCTGGCAGTTTCCTGCTACTCCCAATCCCTTTCTTATAGTATTATAATTGTTCAAGGTCCGCTTATGAGTGAGAACATATGGTCCTCTGTGGAATATTAAGCAGTCATAAAGAAAGACAAACATATGGACTTTGCAGCAACTTGGATGGATTTAGGCAGGGTTTTTACTTAGCAGTCTTGAGACAGAATTCCTTCTTTGTAGGGAATCCTCAGCCTTTGCCTAAGACCCACCCACATTATAGAGGGCCATCTAATTCACTTAAAGTCAATCAGCTATAAATGTTACTCACATCTGTATAATACCTTCACAGCAACATCTAGACTAGTGTTTGACCAAACAACTGGGCACCATTGCCTAGCCTAGGTGGCACATAAAGTTACCTATCACCATATATAAGTAAAGGACCCTAAAGTATCACTTGTTTATACTGGAACCTACCTTTGAAGTCCCAGCAATAAAGAGGAGCATCATTAGTTGAAGGTGGAAAGTTCAGATAGAGCTGCTTTTATTGTCCTATAAAAACACATCAGAACTCTAATATGACAATAACAGCTCCTCTTGTACAAGTGTCGCCAAGAATTGAGGTCTTGGAGAATCATTTTGCAGATGCTTATAACTCACATAGCTAGTGAGAGCACTCAGAAAGTATCCTGAATTTCACATCCTTTCCAAATTCATGTTGCATAGCCTATGATTTGGGGGCTATTGAGAGACCCCCTCAGGCAAATATTGGTGGCATCATGCCATAGGCTGACAGAGCCACTTCACCTTTCTCTCTTCTAATTCTGTCATTTCTCTTCAATTTTACACACTCCTTTCCACTTTGCTTCTCATCTTCTTCCTTTGCCAAACCCTACCTCTATTTTCCCTTTCCCTTTCTTTCCATAACTTATTTATAAACCCCAGGGTTTGCCTCTGTATCCACTTCCCTTTCTATTTTACACATTCTCCGTGGGAGATTTCATTCATTTCCAAGGTTTTAAATGCCATCTAGGTATTAATGGCTTCAAGTCAGCTCTCTCTTACTGAAAACTTTGTCCAGGCTCCAGATACCATCCTTTTACCCATTGCTAGACTTCTCCACCTATATCTCTAGCTACTTTGACCCTAATGTATCATTTCTATATACCAGAGCCTACCTTTGAAGTCCCAGGAATAGAGGGGAGTATCATTATTTGAGGTGGAAAGCTCAGATAGGGCTACTTTTATTGTCCTATCAAAACACATCAGAACTCTAATATGACAATAACAACCCCTCTTGCACAAGTGTCACAAAGAATTGAGTGAAATTGGCTACACCCTTCAAATAAAAGGCTCCAGGTACCACACATTTTAATGACCTGCCAAAATCTACCAATAATTGGGTCAGACACAGCCCCTCAAGGTTCACAAAAGGAAGCAGAGCTATCTCTTTTGCCACTATCCACTCTTTTATCTCCCCAATCTGTATAAGGTGAAGACTAGACAGAAAAGAGTATGGGGGTCCTTGAAGTCATTGTCTTTGTAATAATGCGGTATATATGGTAAGAAGTTTTTTGAAGAAATGGAGAAGGGAAGGAAGTTACCAACACCACCCCTACCCAAAGAAAGAACTCTAAGAGAGTCAGTAGTTGAGACTGGTGATGCCTAGACAAAAAAGTGAAAACTCTGCTTTCTGAGTTGCATCCATTAAAGCAGAGTGTAGAGAAAAAGTTTCTAGGAATGTTTCACATATGTGTTCTTGGAAGGCAGACATAAAGGCATTTTGTTATTTTTATATCTTGTAAGTAGATGGTCACTGGAGTATTCTATGCCAGCAAGGCTTGAAAGGACCACAATATAATATACTTGGGAACAAAGTAGGGACAGGAGGGAGGGAGGATTATACAGTTATGCATGACCTCAGAAGGTGTGGAGGAGAACCTGGCTATTCCTTTTGGTCCACTAGAAGAAGCACAGAGAATACATTGGATAAATACATTTGAGTTGTAGGGTTGTTCAAACAGCTGCCAGTTGAGGTGAGGTGATGCCTTTCCCAGAGAGGGCACAGGAGTCAGGGCTAGGCTAAAGGTAGACATGGCTGCCTGTTTTTTTTTTTTTTTTTTTTTTTTTTTTAGTGGTGTGAAATTGCTTTTCACATATACACACACAATCACTATGAAGGCCACAACAACAGAGAAGCTCAGAAAAAGTCAAAACTATGCTAACCCATTGGGCAGGTAACTAGTTACAAAAGGAGATTCTGACTTCCGTATTCCTCTTTTCTCTGTTTCTACACCATAGAACTAAGCCTTGATAGCAAGAGAGGGGTGTGCTTCAGAACCAAATTATGACCTTCACCCTTTGCATTACTCTGAGAAGTAGCCTTGAACAAACTTCAAATTTGCAATAACAAAAGGACAGAAGACAAATAGAGGTTGGAACGTGGTATTCTTTGCAGCTTTAGAGTAGATTGGACTAAGCTTTAATGATTAAAGGTCACCATAAATGTAGGGAATTCGCCCAAGATATGTGAACAGGGCCAGGAAAAAAAGAGTTTGACAGACTATAGAAGAAATGAATGATCGCAAAAAGAAAAAAGAAAAAATCCAGTAGGAACAATTTCATGTTTTTTAACTATTATGTTGTTGCAATACCTCAATCCATCAGTTACCCAAGTCTTAGTCTCCACTACCTCACAGAGGCCAATGAGGTCCAAGGTAATATTTTTGTTTCTGACCCTCTCATTTAACTTTGTTGTCATCCCTCTCCCTGATATTTTTCTCTTCTGATTTCCTAAATCCCCAAACCAAAGGTTTTATTTCCCAGACTGCCAAAACTGAGAATAGCCCAAGACTGTTTCAATCTTGTTAGTGATCTCCTGAGTCACTCATTCCACACCTGCCCTCAAGGCCAAGATGATTAAGTTCCCATAAGTGGGATGAAGAGAGAGGCAGTCACCTAAAGGAACCAGGCCAAGCATGGCCAAAAGTTCACTCTAAGCAGGGTCTTCAGACTAGAGGACGCTTACCCTTGGCCCTCAGATACTTTGTGAGGGTTCACAGCACAAACTGCCCTAGGGAATCATTTTGCAGATACTCTAATTTCATATATTCTCTTCTGAAAGGAGTCTGATTAAGGAAGGTGTATCAGGCATACTGTGCCTACTTTCTCATTTCCTCTTGCTCAAATGCCCTCCTCTTTATCTTAAAGCTGTTGTGAAAGAAGGGAGTACCCTCTGGGGGGACAAACAGAGGGATAATCAGAAAATTAAGCCCCCTTCCAAAAGAGATTCATGATTTAACAAGATATTTGAGATAAGCAATACGGAAAAAGAGGAGCAGAAGATAAACCTTTCCCGGGTCTCTCCTTTCTCTCTTT